TTGATTCAGAAATGGTAGGAACAAAACTGAACCAAGGCTTGGGAGCACATGCAGGGAGGGCTTTAATTGTGGAATAAGTAGGACTTCCACTGAAGGGAAACAGCATGATGGAGGAACCAGACAGCTTCCCTAACAAAGGGAGATGGAAGGTTTTAATTGACATGCTGGGGTGGGCTACAGTCTGGTATTTTACCACTGGTCCAGGGCATAGTTCCCGAAACTATTTTTTGTATGAGACTCAGACACCAGGCAGTACCAGTAGAGTTGTACCAGGATCAGCTGACCTACTCTTGAAGCTGCCACCATCATCTGTGCAAATGTCCTGGCCTTGTGGCTTGATCTGGGTCTTAGGAAGGACCCTGGATGCTTGTGCTGCTGCAGCTGGTGGAAAAGCACCAGGGTGGCAGAGTAGAAGAAAACACAGAGCAGCTCTCCCCACCAATCAGTGTGTCCACAAGCAGAGCTGAGTGGAACTGACCCAAGTGCTAAGGCAGCAAAGGGGGCAGAGATTAGCATGAAGACAGAGATAACCAGCCTTTGCATTCCATTCCACTCACCTATCAGACATCTACTGCAGGCCCAATGAAGTCAGTATTTTCAACAAAAGTGGCCCTCAGGTCCCTGAAAAGTAACCTAGGCCACCTTTATCATTATAACCCACATCAGAGGTGTCATCTACAGTAAAGCTACTAGGAAAACAATAATGTATCCACCCAGCTGTGTGACCTCCAAAAATTTACTGATTTTTAAGTTGACTAGGAACAGGCAAAGCTAGAGGGTTTGCTTAGTAATAATTCCATCTTGTGTAAATATTCAGCTTCTGTTTTCATCAGAGTCTTGATGATTGAACTGTTGTCAAAAGCACACAAGATTGAGGAACACATTGATTTACTGCCTTCTAAAGTAACAATAAAAGTTGAGACTCAAAATAATTGGTTATAGTTTTAATGGCTGATTATCTCTGAGTGGTTTACATGTTTTTAAGTTTGATATTTTTTTCTTGTGCCTAAATTTCATTAATTTACTGCCAAATAACTTACTGGGTTTTGATTTTGGTGGCATAATTAACACATATTCCCCAAGGTCCCTGAATTTTTGCAACCCTCAAATAAATCAGGGAGAGGAACTTCTGGCAGAAAAACTCCCTGTGAAATCAGCACCTCCATCTAACAGAAATATCTATTAAGAATAAGTGTAGAATTTGGAATTAGATTTTTTTAAATATATTTAATGCCACTTAAAATCTCATGAAACAAAAGCAATGTGTTTATCAAACTTCATAGTTCAAAATTTGAAACTATATCTGCTGTAGTTTGTAGTGCTCAGTTCTATTCCCCTAACGATGAATTTGAGAGTATTGCTACTTTTTGATAATGTTAGGTTAGAGGAAACTTACTCAGGATCCTGTAAGTTTGTCTTGCTCTAGGGCCAATAGATGACAGAGAGCATGTTGGGAAAGGAAAGAGGAAAGTGTGTGAATAAAGAGGCAAATTTCTAGAGGCCCTTTGATAAGACTTATCCCAAATCCTTAGAGGCATGATACTACCTTGGAGACATTCTGTTGAAATAATTGGACTGTATAAAATTTAATAAATGTTTGCAAAAAAAAAAAAAAGCACACAAGAGTAGAGAAAAATATGCTGTGCTACAGAGGGTAACAGTTTATTGTACCCAGGAGTTTGTTATTGTCTCATGTTTTGTCTCCCCAAGTTCTCAAAATCATCATATAAACTGATCACACTCCCCCCCTGAAATCCTTGTTCTGAGTGCCATTATTTCTTCAGAAAATACCCAGAGTGTCATACAGAGGAGGGAGAAGGATGATATTGTTTGATGTGATTTTCCCCACAAAGGTTCCTGTAATGGAGGCGTGGTCCTCAGTGTGGAAATGTTGAGATGGAGAGAAGCTTTAAGAGGTGGGGCCTCGAGGGAGGCAACCAGTTCATGAGGGCACCACCTTTGAAAAAGATTAACACAGGTCTCAGGCAACTGGGTTAGTTCCTGTGAGAATGGGCTGTTATTTGGGAATCTGGCACCTCCACCCTCCACTTGGCACTTATGCATATGCTCCCAATGCTATGATCTCAGTCACCATGAGTCCCTAGCCAGAGCCAAGCAGAATGTAGCACCTTGCTCTTGGCCTCCAGAAATGTAAGCTAAAAAAATAAAAAAAAAAAAAAAAAAAAAAAAAACTATTTAAAAAAAATCAGTTTTCTCAGTCTCAGGCATTTCATTATAGTAACAGAAAACAAACTAAGACTGAATGTGAAACCAGCAAGCCCTTGCTTCCCATCCAACTTCCTTTCCTCACTTCAGTCCTGATTTCCATGTTCCTTGATGCTCACCAATTCCATTCTGTCACCACAGCTTGGGCATCACAGGGAAAGAGGACCAGGTGCAGAATGAGCATGAGACTAGCAGCAGTGAAGTCAGAGGGCGACAGTGGTCATCCTCCCCATCATGCCCATCAGTTTCTCCCTGTAATGCTGAATGCTACAACTGCATTGCCAGCAAGTAACACAACTGGCTGCAGAAAACTTAGCCACTTTTTTTTTTTTTTTATAATATGTGCCATGAAGAAATCCACCTGGTATGTAATCACACAGTTGTTGTAAACCACCTTACTGTGAATGGTTAGGTATACCTCTGACCCCTGGGAGCAATTTAACTTTACAAGACAGGGGGCAGTGTGTGTGTGAATATATCCATTCCCCATCACAACACAGGAAAGTAGAGATGCACGTGGAAAAGGGACTGATTTCTCACTGGCCCAAGTTACCCACTCTCCCACCTCCATGGAGTCTTCCAGAAAGCTCACAGAAATTTTAGAATTTTTGAGCTCCCCACAAGAGGTTCCTGAGATGAGCCCTCACCCCTCACACCTCCTCATAGCTCTCAATTCTACTCTAGACTCCCACTAAATATGGGATGAGATTTTTATGCCACAGTGGAGAAGAGAGAAGCACCACTCCACAGTTTGATACCAACAGATACTCTGAAATTTTTCTAATTCCATGCAACAGGCACAGCTGAGGGAGCTCCCTAGTTCTCTGGCACAGCACACCATTCTGGATCAAATGCAGTAAACCAAAGACATATCTGCTGTCACTTTCTGTCTCCACCTTGTCGAGCTTGCCTGAACTAGACCTCAGCCCCAACAGTCTCCTGCCCTTGGCTCCTCAGACATGTCCTTGGCCAGAATTTGGCACACTTTTTCCATAAATGGGCAAACACTAAATATTTTGGCGTTTGTGCCATAACTACTGGATTCTACTGTTGTGACACATATAAACAAGTAAGTATGTGTGTGCACCAACAAAACTTTATCTGATAAACATGATATGGGCCGGCTTTGGCCCACAGGCCTCAGGGTGCTGACCCCACCTTATTCAGTTTCTCTGCATTCCCCTCCAGGACCCATGGTCTCCAATCTTATAATAGAAAAGAATCCAATCTTGGTAATTTAATGACTCACTAAATATATAATTATGTTCCTAAGCTTAATCTTGTTTAGATATGAGGAATCCAAATGAAAATCCTTATCAACTTAAAATCCATGCCCCTGGAGACACCCCTAGCACACACTCTGTGGGCTGGTATAGTCAACCCCTTCTGCAGCTCCACCCTCTCCCTCCACTACACAAAGCTAGGTAAACTGCTTCACCACTCTGAATCCAGCAGAAGCCATGTGAGAGCAGTTCTGGCTTCCCTCTGAATACAATGGCAGAACCTCCAAAGAAGGCCTTTTGCTCTCCATCATCTGTCCTTCCTGACCCATCCTGCCTGGACAGTGGAGGCAGTATCTGAGCCCTCCTGTGAGCAGGAGGAAGAGGCCACAGGCTGAGGGGGCAGAGCAGGGAGAGCTGGTTCCCAAGAGCCTCACCCCAGTGCCACATCAGTCCTGGGTTCTCCTCTCCTTTGGGCCTCCTGGGTGGTGAGATGAGTTGTGCAGAGATCTGGGGCTTCCGTTTTTTAGAGTTGAATGAAGCCCTAACACACATATTGTTAAAAATGAATTTCAAGGAGAAAAAATCATATCTGGGGGAAAACAGGACAGTTCATTTCAGAATAAATCTCAACACAAAATGTATGTCTTGGAAAACTGAAGGTTCAGATCCAAGTGGATGAGGAAGATCTAACTTATGGTCAGTGATCAAGAACATGTTAGTCCATCCTGTCAGATTTGCAGCATGTCAAAAAAAATCTCTATAATTAAAAAGACTTTTTAAAAATTGGATTCTGTGAGAGAAAGACACCAGGCCATCTGCAAACACCTTCCAAGTTGAAGGTGGTTAAACTCAAGAGTCTAATTCTGTTTATGTATCCCTTTGCTTGTTTTTAAACAAAAATATGTACTGGTGTTATCTTTACAAACAAAAGAAGACTGAAGATCAGTGATTGGTTCAGTATTTCCTGAGCACCGGCTATTATAACTCCTTGATAACTTCCAACTGCCTACAGGTCAAGCACTTATATGACAGCCATCTGCCCTGGGATGGTTTTTCAACCAAAGTAAAAAGTCCTTCAACCACTGCTATGTCTACTAGGGACCAGCAGGGGTTATAGTGACAGCTTAGATAAAGGGGCAGATACCAGGTGGGGCTTCCAGTGGGGACACAGCAGTTAAGAAAGGGGTGTGAAGGTACAGAAGCAAATGGGGAGGATCCAGGTCTGCGAGGACCCTCAGACACCAAATTTGGAGTTTGAACTTTATCTCAAAAGTTCTGAGAAGCCAAGAAAGACCTAAAGTTAGCCTGAGAGCTACACCATCAGATTTGCCTTGGAGATTAACACACCAGAGAAAGTATGGCAGGTGAAAGTAAGGGGGAACATCCGAATAGAACCCTTGGTGACATACAAAAGGAGGAAGCTCATGAGAGAAAGGCCCCAAGGCATGGGGATTCCTTGCTGCAGGGCTACCCTATGCCTTGAAAGGCACAGGCTCCATGTGGTGGCCTTCATGATCTAGAAACCACCGAAAACACAGGCCCTATGTCTGGGAATCTCCTTTGTTACTATGCAACATTCACCTTGCTGACTTTAAATGGTCTCTCCTTGGTGAGCTCTTTGTCAAACTGTTTATCCCAGTTTCCTTTGAAGTAGATGGCATTCACAAGAACCAGTTTAGTGTTTGTATTCAATGAACCTGGAGACAGCAACTCTGTAATTTTATCTAAAAGGAAAAATTAAAGAACCAGTTAGCTAAGAGTTTGCTGATTTGTGCATCAGTGATGATACGGAGAGGGGCCCACCTCCTCAAATAGTCAAGCACAGAGGTAAAGGATCACATATGCCCTAAATAATATAAATAGACATTTGTCATTAAAACAAAGCAATATCCCTGGCATTGAAATACATGTTCTAGGAAGAAAAATACCATCATTTGCATAAAATATAAAAGGAAAAAGTAGATATTAGTAAGTGAATTCATACCACAAGAGATAGAAAGAAATGATTGGTGCCTCAAACTAAAGAACTTAAAATACTGTTACAAGGAGTGATTATAAATTTAAACTTAAATGTTTGAGGTGCTGATATGTTCACTCTGATTTAAACATTACACACATTATATATGCATTGAAGCATATATAATACATATATTGTACAATATACATGATTTTGTTATTATCAACTAAAAATATTTAAGATTTTAAAAAGATGTTCTTTATAAATGTAAAGCACGATTTAGCTAGACATGGTGGTACATGCCTGTAATCACAGAGACTTGGGAGGCTGAGGCAGGAGGATTGTAAATTCTAAGCCAGCCTTAGCAACTGAGGCCCTAAGCATCTTTACAAGACCCTATCTCTAAATAAAATTTTTATTTAGGACAAATATCCCATTACATTATTTAAGGATGGGGCTTGGTATTTAAGTCCCTCTGATTTGAATCCCTGGTACCAAAATTGAAAAAAAAAACAAAAAAACAAAGCACACAGTTTACATTAAAAACCACAGGTCCATGAGGATACCACCAAGCAATTTGCAACAATGCATGAAAACTGGGGAGCATGAGCTCACACTAGAGAGGACACAGCTGAGACCTGTCAGGTGAATTTTTCTTTATGTGATTGGTGAAAAGGAAAAAACAAACAAGAGCAAAGACATTACAGTGTGGATTGTTCTGGAAGAGGGGTGCTGACTAGGGGGAAACATTATGGATACACTGAGAAGAGCAGGGAAGACCTAGAGAAAATGTCATCCACTGACAGTATTTCAGAAGCAGACTTTTAAAGTCTGAAATTATTTGAGAACAAACACATCATTCCTGTTCATATTTGACAATCTTGTGAAGGAACTGACAATAAGACTGATGTAAATACTATTAAAAACAGAACAATAGGCTGGGACTGTAGCTCAGCGGTAGAGCATCTGCTCAGCATGCCCAAGGCCCTGGGTTGGATCCCCAGCACTGCCAACAAAGGAACTAGCAAAGCAACTACAACCCCACCATCACCAGAAACAACAAATAAAAACTATGTTTTTACCTTCTGTATCTTTAGCTACCCAGATGTTTATGTGTTTTCTGGACTCCTTGGTAGCATTCAGAAAGTCAAGCTCTTCCATCTGTGCTTGGTAGAATTTCTGACAGGAATCTTTAAAAGACTAAGGCAGAGCAATATAATTGCATGGTTCCAAAGTAATTAACAAGTGTACTTCATTAATCTACCAAAGCAGAAACTCAATGATGTGCTGATTTAGAGAGGTAATTTACAAATTACTACGTAGAATGAACCTAAAATTCACCTTCTCAGTTTTGGGCTATCTTTAATGTCCCGAGTATCACATAAATTTCATGAATGGCTGGATCTTTATGGGAGTTGCTGAGCCTCAAGAGGTATCTGGGAGGAAGCTGAGATGCAATAACTGTGGAGAGAAAGTTAACCCAGCAAGAGCTAGCACTCCTCTGCACTCTGAAATAAGGGACACTGAACACAGAAAGTAGAACATAGGAAAATGAGCCATTCTGCACCACCCTGCCACCACAACTTCCTGTGATAACAGAAAAATGAGCACCATCAAAAATGGTGTCATAGGTGATTACAGAGCATCTGAGATCAGGTCAGTGCAGCTGCAGAACTGAATATTATCTTTTATTTTATTTTGATTAATTACTTGTGTCTAGAGATTGCCAGTGCTGCTGAACATCTCAGTTTGGAGTAATAAGCAATTCTCAAAAAACGAGTAGGGCTATGATTCGGCTCAGTGGTAAAGCATTTGCTCAGCATGGGAAAAGCCCTTGGTTGTATCCTCAGCATCACAAAAAAAGAAAGGGAAAAGAAGTTCAAAGTGTTTTACTAACATATCCTATGAAATGATAATGACATTGATGAACACATACATTCTACCATGTTAAAATAGAAAATTTGTGGAATATAAGTGTGCTTACAACCCATTACAATGGCAATGCACTATGAAATTATTTCCTAATCTTCCTTTTGAACAGTTTATGGCTCCATATTTGATTTCTATTTATTTATAAGGAAAGATTTCACATTTGTCCTTCAGTATTGCACAGACACAGGTGTTAGGAACACAAGTTCTTTGATTTGTTAGCTGGGTGGCTTTAAAAAGGTTAATTAGTGTCTCTGCCTCTTTGTTTGCCATGGAAATGAGACAGCACTGGCTGTATGAAGCTCCCAGAGTTACTTTGAGGCCCAGCTGAATTACTTTCATTATTACTACTTCATCCAATGTTACTGAATTCTCAACATATTGTGGGCACTTAAAAGGAGAACTTCCTGTATCATTCCATTCCATTCTCACATAGTTCTTGCTTTACCAATTTCACTGTTCTGTTTTTTAAAAATTTTAAATCTTTCAATCTAAGAAAATAGTCTGAAAGCAAACTGGTCACTCAAATATTGATAACTTGCCACACACTTGTGTGTGAATTTTACAACTTTTAAACACCCTAGGAAATAACTACGGGCTATTCAAGTTACTATTATAAAAACAATGAATAATCAAACTCAAGGAATATGTGATTTTACATCATGGTTGGTATTCAATTTTTGGAAGTTTAAAAAAATGAATGACAAATATTTCTAATTTCCTTATTTTGTATACTAATATAAATTTTTAAATATCAATAGTTTTCTTAAAATATCCACCCCAAAAATGAAAGAAAATTAAATCAGCCAATCATGTGAGTATGTTGGAATTTCTGTTCATAAAAAGGCTTAAAGAGGGTGATGATACCTATAAAGTAGCTAAGACTAATTAAATAAGTAAAACAGATTATAAAAAATCATACTGTGATATATAGTTGTTATCAATATTTGAACCTATGCTTGTTTATGTTCATTTATATCACTTCCTTTTAAAACATTTAATGTAGTTTAAAACAGGTTTGAAAAATGAGAAAAAAATCATAGAAAACGTTGAAATCTCACACATACAAAAACTCGTATAAATCAATAAGAAAAGGGAATACAGATCAAGAGATAAATGTGCACAGAATATGTAAATAAACAACATACAGAAAACATATACAGGTTGAATATCCCAAAAGGTACATGTGCAGAAATATTTTACATTTTGTCACTTTCCAATTGTGGATTTGGGGATTATGGATACTCAGATTGTCCATGTTCAAAGAGCTTAAGTTCAATCTCATAAGTAATCAAGATTCAAAAGCTACAAACATGCAGTGTTGATCATGGTAGATGGAAACCGACATTGTGCTTATATCCCTGAAAAGAACAGATACATCACTTTGGAGAGACATTGAAAAATATAATATATATTATAATTTCTAAGCTCTATTTCCTTCCTCCCTCCACAAATCTACCTGGGAGCAGCACACACACACATACATGCACAAAAGTCACAGTCAATAACACTGTCTGTAACAACCCAGACTGGGTATGACCTAAAGCCCATCCATGACCAAGTATCTTTCTATGTTACAATGTGTCCAACTTAGAATTATTAGATGATGGTTCATAATAGTAATGTAGGGCTGGGGATGCACTCAGTGGTAGAGCTCATGCTTATTTATATTTGAGGATTCAATCCCCAGTGACACATAATGGTGATGATGATGATCATGATAACAACACTGAAGTAGATCCACATACACTGAGATGGGAAGAACAAGAGAAAGATATTTCAAAACAACGTGTATTGGATAAAGGCATAATGCAGAGAAAATTACTACAAATCAAGAATCACTACATGTGCAGGAGGATACATATCAAATCTATGAAAGCTCTTATTCTGGGAGGGATGATGGGTTGTGGGAAGGAGGTTGATGTGGCTCTTTGCTGGCCCTATTGCATTCTGCACAAAAATGTACTCACCTGTGACTTGAGTAGTTTTCTGATTTTTTTAAATGAAAGGTGTGAACAAATACATGAGTAAACAGAAACCTGAGTGAATTAACAGCCCAGGCTCTTTCAGCTGCACCACGAGTTTCCCTCCTCCCTACCACCTTGCTTCATCAAAAGCAGCGAGTATGACTTACTGAGAGGAAATCATAAGACTTTTCTGCAAAAAGCCCGTTGGCTGTTCTAAGCAAGCACCCTGTGTCTGTCTTGTTCACTTCAGTGAGAAGGGACTGGAAACCTCTGTGGATATCTGCACCTCCAGTGCTGCTGCTTTTATTTAAAGAATGTACCTGAAATCAGAAACACAACTAAAATACACCATTGCAGTAGGCCCTGACTACAGGGAACAAGCAAACTATACTAAACTTGGCCTAAGAACTGTGCAGATTCAAACCACCATCCAACTAGAGACAAAAAGTATCTTGAAAGCTCACTCTCCAGTGTCCCTCCCAGGATCCCTTTCTGTACCCTGTCAGTATTGTTCTGAGGAGAAATGTCTCTCCACAACCCAGGCTCTTTGTATCTAGAGCCTAGCTGGAGACAGAGGTATCACTAGACCTCCCATCTCTGCAAACACAGGATGCTCCAGAAAATTCTAAGGTAAGGTCTCTCCCTGCCCTTAGGTCTGTGAAGGCTTTGACCAGCAGAATACAGCACAAGCAATGCTGTCCAGGCCTGAGCCTTAAAAGCCTTGTAGCTGTCATGTTCACTCTCTTGCACTCGCTGCCATGATGGAAGGAAGTCCAAGGTATCCCCTTGGAGGATGTGCTACCATATAGGCTGAGTTGCTGGGAAGAGAACCAAAGCCCCATCCAATAGCCATCACCAAGACACCCCATGTGAGAGAAAGCCTCCTTGGACCCTGCAATCCAGCTGTGTATTGCAACAGTAGCATGAGTGGCTCCAGCTGTCATCACAGGGAGCATAAGAACTGCCACTGGATCTGAGAAATAATCCACCATGATTATTTCGAGCCACTAATTTGGGGGATGGTTTGTTTTGCAGCAACAGATGACATGTGCAGCAATTCAGAAGTGTTCCGTCATAACAAAAATAAACAACTTGATGCTGGCTTTGGAAATGGGTAGTTGACAGAGGCTGGAGGGCCAGGGATGAAATTACTACCGCTGTCTGAAAAAAGAGGTAAGGTGATAAGGTAGGCATTCACCAGAGAAGTGAAGATGTTCACCTGTAGCAAGAGGTAAGATAGGACACGTTCCCAGTGAATGCCCACAGCTGTCTAAGATATCCAAGAAGTGTGTGTCTTCCTTTTAGCTGCCTAACGTAGAGTGTGGGAAGAGAGAGATGAGCTAAAGAAAGAATTATTGCATTTTCAAGCAGAATTTAAAGGAACTATTTATAACCCAGGTCTTGATAGGTATAACATAAAGGTGTTTCTTCTCTCCCCACTCTCCAGTTGACAACATGATTCTCAACCGAAGAAATGGCCTCAAGGTAAATCTAAAATCCTTGGCCTCAGGAGCAAGATCAAGATCCACTTTGTAAAAACCTTTGGACAACAAAGGCAGCATCTCATAGACCTGTAGAGAAAGGGGCTTCTTAGCAACTCAAGAACATTGCCCCACAGCACCCTTACTTCCAACCTGACACAGTCTTGTCTCAAACAGGCTTGTACTGATAGACCCAGCCTGATTGCCTCTTAAAATTTGGAGGCATCTCACCACAAAGCCATGAAAATCTAATTTCGGCTTTACTCTAAATTACTGCAAATTCTGAACTTGCTTAGAATGCCTGCCCATGCCTTGAACTCACCCATGCCTGGTTCTCTCTAACCACATAGCAGCCCTCTCTGAAACTTTAGTGATGCCTCATAAATCTTGGCCTTCCCTGGCCAGATAACCATCCTCTCTGAGGCTCTAATGACCTTCATAAATTCTGATGTCTGGCCAGCAAAAATGTAAACTAGCCTTTGTGTTATGCTCCTCAGAGTTTTGTTATCTATAACTCACCCTTTGTGTAAATTTCTGGGCTATAAAGCTGGGCTGCAAGAAAGCTGTGGGCTGTCTTGTTCCCATGATTTTTGGTGGGAGAGGCAGCCTGGCTGGTCGAAATAATAAGCTTGCTTTAATTTGATTTTAATTGGAGTCAGTGGTCTTTTCTTATGTCCTGGTCAAACAGTACATGCGGCTTGGTCCAGTGCAGCAGGCTGTAAGTTGAAACACAGAAATCCTACAATGGTTTTAAAGGAGTTATGAAATATTGAAATTAAAACGCAAGACAGTTCAAAGTGAAGGGGTGGACTTGGGTCCCCAACTCTCTTTTGGCAGGAGAAAGGCTAAGAGAGAAACAAACATGAAACATGACCCATTTCTTCTGGAAAAGGATGGGAGTTGCCAAGCACTAAGCCCAGAATGCACAGGGAGGTGCCATGACCTGACATGTGGAGGACAAGGAATGCTTCCCAGGAAACCCAGGTGGAGCCAATCAAGGAATATTCCCACCCTGAGGACAGAGGAGCCTGGCATACACACCTGGCTGGATTTGGAAATTGCTACAGTTCAGGGACTGCAATGTGCTCACAGGGGTGCTTAGCAGGGGTAGCATGTGCTTCTTGTCAGCTCTCCATCCACACCTCTCTGATACCCTCTGATATCCATCCACAGCAATCCCTGTTGGGATTTGAAGTGTGGAGAATTAGCTCAATTGACAACTATCAGCATTTACTATTACTCCCAAAGGACACCAGGTACCTGAGCCATCTGGACTGTGGTGGTTCCCTTTGCCCCCAAAAGGACCATGGCCAGGGCCGAGGAGATGCTGATGGGTGAGTAAAACACATTTCTTGAACTGTCTTCACCCAGCGTTTTCAGAAGGTTTAAGGCAAAGGTGCTGTTTGCTTCTAACAGAGGATCCATGATGGTGAGCCTGGAACGATGGACTTCAGATCAGTATCACATGAACACAGGCTCACAGGTCAACTGCACTTTCCCTCCTTTTAACTCCACGGCTGCTGTGGTGCAATAAGCAAACAGATGCACACAGAACTCTGAGGGTCTTTTTGGGGTCACAAGATTATTTTATGTCCTAATATTAAATGAAGAAGAAGAGTAAAATTTAATACTATGATCCTGTTGTGTGAAGACCTGTATCTGCACACTTCTTTGTGTGCATGGGCAAAGTGTGGGTGGGACACATGCACCTCCTGGATAGGGTAAGAGAAAGGGTGATTGACTTTGGCTTCCATGTCTGTATTCTTCAGTGTGTTGTAAGAGCTTATTGTATCATTTAATTTGAAAATCATTTAAAATTACAAATTTACTCACAAAGTTACAAAGACAAGATATTCAGTCTTTTTATAATGTGGGGAAGTTCCCCATTTTAGGGTAACTGAAGCCTTAAAATAAATTTGGGAGGTAAAGCCACATGAGACCCTTCTCTCCTCTGAATCAAATACCCACCCATCACCCCCAACAGATGAGGGTGCTCACTCAGGTATGCTCAGCAGGGCACCATTTAATCCTCAATTCTTCTAGGGAACCTATGCATGTGACAAAGCCCAAATCTAAGGTCATGTTAAGGGCCTCTGCTGTCATAGGCAAGGGCACTTGGCCCATGTCTCACAACTCTTCCTCATCTCTGGTCAGTTGTGACTGCCCATGTCCACCTCCACACACTCAGAGCTCAGGGGAGTCTGGAGCTTTTCCAGAAGTGCATTTGGCAATGCCCTGGCAGCCCTGGCAAGGTCAAGGGCAGGAACACAGTTAACCAGTCAGAAGTGAGTGGGGTGGAGGTGTCTTCAGGCCAGTTGGAATCACAGAATCACAAAATGTTATATAGCACAGCAGGACTTCAGTGATCCCTATTCACAATTTTCCATTTTCAACAGGGATCAGGAAGTTCACCAGGGTGAATTGATTGCAGCTGAGGAGCACTCGGACTGAGTCTTTCCAATACACTTGGAGAAGTCATGAACTTCAGGAAGAGCCTGAAGGAATCAGGCAAGAGGACAAGAGGAAAGAAAGAGCTCAATCAGCCAGGAAGTCTGCACATGCACTGGAGCAGCCCTGGTGCACTGTGGGCACAGGGCCTGTCTGTTCCAACACGGTTCACAGATGTTTACCAAACTCATTTCCCCAGCTGGAGAATGCTAATATTCTAAGACAGTCCCCATGATTCCCCTGAGCAGTGGGTGGAAACCCCTGTCAGAACAAGGAGGAAATGAGTGTTTCAGAGTACACAGGAGTGGGAAGGTGTACCTATATAAGGGACTGTTGACAAGAACATGAAGCATCCCTTTGTATAACATCCCATTCATATAGCTGTGGTCCATAGAACAAGGTCCCCAGACATATCTAGGTCCTAATCCCTGGAACCTGTGAAAATTCCCTCATATGACAAAAGAGACTTTGCAGCTGTATTTAAGAATCTTCTGATGGAGAGAATATCATGGACCATTCAGGTAGCCCCCAAATGTAATCATGTAGTCACACGTAGTTTATAAAAGGGGGGTGTCAACATGAATAAAAAAGGAAAGAAACTCAGAGAGAGTCTCTCTAAAACAAAAGATTTACATTGAGATTAGCAAAGGGTTGCAAACCATAGTGGGCAGATTATGAAAATCAAAAACTCATGGGAGTGGAGAAGATGAGACCAAGAGGCAATTTGTCAGAGCTAAGCAGCCAGGTGTAGTGGCACATGCCTGAAATCTCAGTGGCTTGGGAGGCTGACGCAGGAGGATCACAAGTTCGAAGCCAGCCTTGGCCACTTAACTAACTCTTGTCTCAAAATAAAACATAGAACAGGATGAGGATGTGGGTAAATGTGGGGTAAATTGCCCCCTGACTCAATCCCTGGTACCAAAAAAAAAAAAAACAAAAAACTAAGCTCCTGAGCAAATTTTATTTTATACCTATGCTTTAATGTAATTGTTTCCTGGGATGGAATTAACCTCAGGGGACCATTTCCTGTCTACACAAACAAGGGACCAGGGCTTACTGGTTCATGGTCATTGTGCCCCACCCCCCCAGATGTTGCTTGACACTGGGTGCTCACAGTTTTTATAACCAAGCACATTTGTGTAGTTAGTAGACCTCTGGGCTTCAGTCTCACTTTCAATGGAATTGACAAGGCCTTGGCCAAACATGAAATTGCAGTTTCTTGTAATCCCATGTGTTGCCTTAAAGGAAAGTAATGTTTGGGTTTTTCTCCAGCTGAGTTGCAAAGCCTGCAGTTCTTGCACATATCTTGGCTCTAAGTCTTTTGGTTTAACTGTTTACACCTTTAGGTTGGTTTATGGACTGTTCATTCACCTAGGAACCTGTAAAACACTAAACTGTTTATATGGAAATCCTAGATGGAATGCAAACATCACTGAATCCTGTTACTTTTTATTTATTTTTAATTCTAATTTGTTATATATGACAGCAGAGTGCATTGCAATTCATATTACACATATAGAGAACAAATTTTCACATCTCTGGTTGTATACAAAGTATATTCACAACATTTGTGTCTCCATACATGTACTTAGGGTAATGATATCCATCTCATTACACCATCTTTTTACCCCCATACCCCCTCCATTTCCCTCCCAGACCACTGCCCTATCTAGAATTTGTCTTTTATTGCTAAGTAATATTCCATTCTGTATATATACCACAGTTTCTTTATCCTTTCATCTATTGAAGGGCTTCTAGGTTAGTTCCACAATTTAGCTGTTGTGAATTGTGCCTGTATAAACATTGATGTTGCTGTGTCCCTGTAGTATGCTATTTTAAGTCCTTTCAGTGTAGACGGAGGAGAGGGACAGCTGGGTCAAATGGTGGTTCCATTCCCAGCTTTCCAAGAAATGTCCATGCTGTTTTCCATATTGGCTGCACCACTTTGCAGTCTCATCAGCAGTGTATGAGTGTGCCTTTTTTTCCCCACATCCTTGCCAACTTTTTGTTGTTTGTCTTCATAATACCTGCCATTCTGATTGGAGTGAGATGGAATCTGAGTAGTTTTGATTTGAATTTCTCTAATTGCTAGCATTGAAAAACATTTTTATTTATATTTGATGATTGATTCTATATCATCTTCTCAGAAGTGTCTGTTCAGGTACTGGGCCCATTTATGCATTGGGTTATTTGTGTTTTTTTTTTTTTGGTGTTTAACTTTTTGAGTTCTTTATATACACTAGAAAAAAGTGCTCTATCTGATGTGCGAGTGGTAAAAATTTGCTCTCAAGATGCAGGCTCTCTCTATTCATTCACCTCAAAGATTGTTTCTTTTGCTGAGAAGAAAATTTTAGTTTGAATCCATCCCATTTATTGTCTTGATTTTAATTCTTGCACCAAAAGAGTCTTATTTAGGAAGTAGGGGCCTAATCCCACATGATGGAGATTATGACCTACTTTTTCTTCTATTAGATACGGGGTCTCGGGTTTTATTCCTAAGTCCTTGATCAATTTTGAGTTGGGTTTTGTACATGGTGAGAGACAGGGGGTTAATTTAATTTTGTTGCATATAGATTTCCAGTTTTCCCAGCACCATTTGTCGAAGAGGCTATCTTTTCTCCAATGCATGTTATTGGCACCTTTGTCTAATGTAAGATAATTGTAGTTTTGTGCGTCATTCTTTGTGTCCGCTATTCTGTACCATTGGATTACCAGTCTGTTTTGGTGCCTATGCCATGCTGTTTTTGTTACTATTGCTCTGAAGTATATAATTTGAGTTCTGGTATAGTGATACCACCTGCTTCACTCTTCCTGCTAAGGATTGCTTTACCTATTCTGGGTCTCTTATTTATCAGATGAATTACATGATTGCTTGTTCTATTTATAAGAGGAATGTCATTGGGATTTTAATCAGAATTGCATTAAATCTGTATAGTGCTTTTGGAAGTATGTTCATTTTGATAATATTACTTCTGCTTACCCAGGAGCACTTTAGATCTTTCCATCTTCTAAGGTCTTCTTTGACTTTCTTTATTTAGGGTTCTGTAATTTTCATTATATAGATCTTTCATCTCTTTCATTAAGTTGATTCCCAAATATTTTTTGAGGCTATTGTAAATGGGGTAGTCCTTCTCATTTCCATTTCTGAGGATTTATCACTGATATACAGAAATGCATTTGATTTATGGGCATTGATTTTATATTCTGCTACTTTGCTGAATTCATTTACTAGTTCTAGAAGTTTTATGGTGGAATTTTTAGGGTCTTCTAGGTATAGAATCATATCATAAGCAAATAGTGCCAATTTGAGTTCTTCTTCTCCTCTGTGAATCCCTTTAATTTCTTTTGTCTAGTTGCTCTGGCCAGTATTTCAAGAACTATATCAAATAAAAGTGGTGAAGAGGGCATCTCTGTCTTGTTCCAGTTTTTAGAGGGAATGCCTTCAATTTTTCTCCATTTAGAATGATGTTGGCCAGGGGCTTAGCATAGATAGCGTTTATGATGTTGAGATATGTTCCTATCATCCCTAGTTTTTCTAGTGTTTTGAACATAAAAAGAGGTGCTACATTTTGTCAATTGCTTTTTCTGCATCTATTGAGATAATCATATGATTCTTATCTTCAAGTCTATTGATGTGATGAATTACATTTACTGATTTCTGAATGTTGAACCAACCTTGCATCCCTGGGATGAATCCCACTTGATCATGATGCATGATCTTTTTGATATGTTTTTGTATTTGATTTGCCAGAGTTTTATTGAAAATTTTTTCCATCTATATTCATTAGAAATATTGTTCTGAAGTTTTCTTTTTTTGATATGTCTTTGCCTAGTTTTGGAATCAGAGTGATATTGTCCTCTCAGAATGAGTTTGGAAATGCTGCCTCTTTTTCTATTTCCTGAAATAAATTGGACAGTATTGGTATTAGTTCTCCTTTAAAGGTCTTGTAGAACTTACTTGTGTATCTGTCCAGTCC